CGTTAAGACCCAATACCGAGTTATACCGAGCTATACCGAGCTATACCGAGCAATACCGAGTTATACAAAAGTTGTACCGAGTTTTTCCTGAAAAAAACTCGGTACAACTCGGTATAACTCGGTATTGGTCTTCACAGAGCGGTATTCCTCGTTATTATCAAATAATACCTAGCAATACCGAGCAAATACCGTTTTTTCGTAGGATTTTGCCTCCGACCGGACCTTCCTCTACGTCCTTACACCGGACCTAATAAAACGGACCTCAAATCATTTATTTTGATTTGAGGTTAGATTTTGTTTGAGATAACTTTTGATCGTTGCTTTTTTCGCTGCTTTTACGAAATTTTTTTATTAGAAAATTGTTGTAGAAAACAGTACTGAACATTTCAATGAGAAGCAACATTAAAATTGATTTGATATGAATCCAGATGAGCTTTAATAAAGCAATTTAAGTAATAATTAAAAACTTTAGAATATTAATTGAAGGAACAATTGATATCTGAGTCTTACGTGATTATAATCAAATCAAGTATCTCAATAAGAAGAACCTAATGAGCCTAAGTTCATTTAATTTTAAGGTCATTAAGACACTAAATTGTCGAATGAATCATACATAATCAGAAGATTCAATATAAGCCATCCGATGAAGTGCTATAAAAATTTGACCAAATTTATTAAAGTACAACGCCCAAAAAATTATAAATGTATCACACTTCTTCATCTAAAAGAGAAATTGACTTGAGTTTGAAGAGAGCTTAGAGATTTAAAAAACTCTAGAGCTCCACATGACATTCAATATTGATGATCACCGCAGCCATCTTCGTTGCCTGAATGTCATCATCAGACCACCATCAACAAATCATTATTGTTCGACTACCACTGCCCGATCATTATAGTTTATTCAATTCATTGTCACCAAACAACCACCGTTCATCTACCGCCACCGATCATCGTCGGACTATCATTCAACTAGCATCGCCCGACCATCATTATGATAACTCTACTACTTTCCCAATAAGCTTGAGTTTGTGTTTTGTGATCAGGGGTGGGCTCCAGTAATTTTATCTATATAATGTATTATTTTAATTGGATCATATCATGTGTTTTTGTTTTCTTCTCTAACTTTTCACACAAAATCACTAATGCATCTTATGTTTCTCTCTTTTATTTGTGTGAGAGTTCTTAATGCAATATTATGATGTAAAATTATCTATCTATGGTATTATATAAATAAATTAATAAAAAATGTAAGTATTTGATAGGTAAAGGTAAATATATAAAATATAATAAATAAAAAATTTCATAAAAATCAACGCGTTTCTTATAAATTTGTGATGGTGTTTCCGTAATTTAAACAAAGTCCAATGGCATTCTACCAGATGTTTCTCCTCATAAACAGCCCGAAATCCGAAATCCGAACTCCGAAGCCCCTTTCTGCCCGCCTAATCCATTAATCAGACCCCGCCCACTACTATCCAAGAAGTCGCCGGCGATGGACCAATTAGGATCCCCCGGCGACGGGACGCCGCCAACGGCTTACCGACCGGTGGGACTGACAAGATACGGCTCCGCGCCTGGATCATTCCTCTCGAGCATAGCCGATTCGATCATCGGCGGCGGTGACGAGGGTTTCCGGGCCGGTGGATCGGAGGAACCTGTCGGGGGGACCTTCTTCTCCGGCGATTCAACTTGTATGACGTCGGAATCCTGCTGCCACGCTGCTTCCGGCGCGTCGTCAGATCTGGACCGTTCGATGAGCGGAGTGGGAATTTACGGCGGGAGCTATTCGCCGTTGGAGTATGGGGGATGTGAAGAGATTGCAGGAGGATCTCATCTGATTAGACATAGTAGTTCGCCAGCGGGGTTCTTCACCAATGTTTTGGTCGATTCTGGTGAGCTTTCCACTTTCTTCCCCTCCTTTCTGAGCTTTCTCTTTAAAGTTTAATTGAGAAAAACTAACAAAATAGTCTAGGTTAAACTGTAGGACTTCTCTCAAAGAGGTCTCTCTCCTTCTCTCTCTCTCTCATTATGATACTGTTCGACACTTTTGTTTGCCATTTAGGCCTGTTTAGAGACATATTTTTTGAAGTTTTGCATTTTAGAAAGCTACTTTAACTATAACTTTCTTTCTATTTTTGAAAAAAAAATGGTAAAAAATAAATTTTTAACGTTCTCAGATGAGAACAAATTTATGCCTCTGTATTTGGTCTCTGCACATAATAATTTCACGTGGAGGCGGGCAGTATTTACTGGCGGGAAAGCAGTATTTACTGCTCACCACTGAGCTTTTATTGTTAAAGAGACAAAACTCTCTTCTCAGGTCCCAGCTAATATCTCTCCCCAACCATAAATCATTGCAAAATTATACAAAATGCTATCGGAATTTAATTCTGCTTTTTTTTTTTCGACAAAATTGCGGACAGTATATTATTATTATTATTATTATATTTTGGTAATTTGCTTATACAAATTGTTATGTGTTTTGCAAAATATTTTAATTGCTTAAATGTTAATATTCAAACTTTTCATTTTTGTTCAATTGATTTGTTATATTTTATCTATAAATATTTAAAATGATAAATTTTATGATGTCAAATATGGTGCATGCTCAGTGTATGAAATTTTTGTTAGTGCAAAATTAAAGATAGAGCTGATATATAATCTTGTCTCTAAGTTTCTTTAATAATCTTATAAATAAATTAAGGCTTCATTTGAGTCAGCTTATGGCCACGGCTGTTTTACTACTTTTAAGATATCTTTGATCTAGAAAATTATTGTAGAAATCAATAAGAAAATTATCACAAATAAAGTCAAAGTTAGTAATTTAGTAATCTTTCAGAATCAATTTTTTTACATAATAAAATTGTTAGGCCTTAGGGTACATTTTAAAAATAACAAAAAACTATCTCTTAAGATTTTATAATAAAGTTATTCAGCTTTTTAGAAACTAGTTAATTATATAATAATAATAATAGAGCATTAGTATAAAATAATTTTTTCTTAGAAATTATGCTTAATTATGCTTCTGTCACTTGATAACTGTTAAACTATGCAATTTTCCCCTCATTATGCTATCACTTAATAACTCTTAAACTATGCAATTTTCTCTTAATTATACTTTGTCACTTGATAACTCTTAAACTATGCAATTTTCTCTTAATTATGCTTCTATCACTTAATAACTCTTGAATTATATTCCTTCGTAAAATTATATACCTGTTTATTTAAATTAGCGAAAACTAAAAAAGTGCAAAATCATTTTGACGGTGTCATTGAAAAGCAAAATGATTTTAGTTTGACATATAAAAATGACAAACTATTTTGTGTTTTCAATGATAACAAAAAATTGTTTTGCGTTTTTAGTGAAAACGCTGAATGATTTTGCATTTTTTAGTAAATCCTTCTGTTTTACCTTTTTGCTCCTTTTTTAAATTTCTTTTAAGTACGCTCTTATCACTTAATAACACTCAAATCATGTTCCTTCTTAAAATTTGCTCATTATCATTTCAAACAGTGATATATGCTTACATAATAAATATATTGCAATGTTATTAATATTAATATGTGCCCTTAGAAGTTAGAATTTGGCTAAGGTCTTGGTCAAGGCTATGTTGCTTTGGGTCGGGCCAATTGGGTGAATGCCCAAGGCATGGGCTGGGCTAAATAGCTGGTTCAAGCCATTTAAAGTTGAACCCCCCAACGTTAAAATGCCAACTGCAAGATAACTTACAGATTTCCAAATATTTAAAAGTTTTTCTATTCTAGGAAGTGCATGCAGCGCAAAGATTATCCATATTGAATAGTTACTCAATTGTCCACTGATGTTGCAGGTCTTTCTCCAAAGGGAACTGGCAACTTCTCTCAAATAGGTGTAAATGGTACCCGCATGAAGAGACAAGGATTGAGTTCCCAGTGGAGTTTCTCGCATCAGGACTCCTTATCACAAATTTCTGAGGACAGTATTGTTGAGATGGGGAAGAATATTAATCATGGAAACAGCCCAACTGAGGTATCTGGAAATTTCAGTTATACATACATCTCAGGCAACACCCTACGTAGCTCTTGGGATGGCTCCAATTCCATCGTCACTGCTCCCAACAAACGAGGCAAGGATAATAATGGAGATATAATGACCAATTTCAACAACTTGGAATCTCAGGTAATGTGAACAAAGTAGACATATATTTAATTTCTGATGTGTAGCACTATTTCTGCTTAAATCCTTAATATTTTGCGCACTTATGCTAAACATTAAGTTAAAATCTTGTAAATAATGAAGATTTAGATTCACTTATTCCTTTTGCTTGTTACATAACATATAGCCAGCTATGTAGCGTAGCACTTTTACAGGATCATTCAATACTTTAGAAGAGCAAGAAAAACAGTAAACCAATAGGAAAATTCTCCCTAAGGTGTAATATAGAAGAAGTTTGATTTAGTGCATAAAAAAAGTTAACTAGCAAAAACATTCCACCATATATATTTCAAACCTATTGGTGGGTGCCGGGCCAAAATGAAGGGACAGACATAAATTGCAAAAAGGTAAAAAGGTGAAAAGAGAGTTTTTTATTGGAGTCAAATAAAACTACCAAAGGCATGGATAGTGGTTTGGTGGACTAAGGGTAGCTAGTTGCATCAAATCTCCCCTACTTCGGAAAAAGAACTCGACTCAAGTTTAGTAGTTGCTACATTTGGTGGATGGTTGTTGTAAATGTCGGTGGCATTGAAGATTGATGAAAGGTGTAGAAAAGGAGGAAAGGAGGCAATGTAAGTGTTGTCATTGATCTTCTTAGATATGGGAAATGGACTGAGCTTGCAAGGTTTTAAATTTGAATATGTTCTCGAGAAAAATCATTTTTCGCGTCGCAGAACTATTACGAGATCTCCCTCTTCGAATAGATTCTGCCGCCTGTGCGTGCCAACATCCTATTTGTATTTGGTTTTAGATTTTCAAGCTTCTTTTTGACCTCTTGCAGTACTCTTTAGAACTTCTTGATATTATACTAGTTGTCCAGCTTTTGCACTTAGGTATGATGGTTAAATCAAATATTGTTAGGTTCCTTAGTGTTGATGACATTAAATGGGGTATTTCCACTAGAATGTTTTTTCGTTGAATTGTATGTGAACTTGGTTACCTAAGCCCATTTTTTTGTATTATAGAACACATCATGACAACATGTTTACAAGGATCTAATTACCACTTCTGTTCGGCCTCCTGTTAGGGGATGGTAAGCTAAGCTGAGGCAAATATCAGTTTGTTTCCTCTTCCATAATTCTAGCCAAAAACAACTGATAAATTTAGAGCCTATATTCGAAGTCATACTATGTGGTAGCCCATGAAGATGAACAATGTCATGATATAGCATCTAAAGTTATCTAACAAGCGATGAAGTGTGTCATTTTCAAAAATCAGTCAACAAAAACTCAGATGGAGTTAACTCCTTGCTTAGTCCATGACAAGCAAAGTATGAAGTATATGCTAATATCTTCTAAAATGAAGTTAGAAACTGACAACGACAAGTATAAAGTAGCGTTTTGAGTTTTTCCTTTGCATTTCTGATAGATGGGGCAATGTTTGTGATGCAACACCAAGATAAAGGTCAATGATAACATCATAAACTAAGATCTATCCTCAGAATTTAGTCCAATTATTATAAAAAAACTCTTAATTCAAACTCATGAATATCCCATAATACTTTTAAAATCATGCGAGAATAATTTTAAAGCTTAATTTAAGGTCCTTTTGATGGATAGGTGGGCAATACAAGTAAAATATATATATATATATATATATATATATATATATATATATATATAAAGATCTTCATTAATTGATTGATTTCAATACTACACTACTTGCTATTTATGGCCAATCCAAAATTTCATGTATTTGAAAGCTTTTAATTTTATTTTATTTTATTTTCTTATTTTTAGTATTACGACATGTCATCAATTCATGTAGTAGTATTTTATTGGCTTTTAAGGCTTTCCAAAATCGTCTAGGCTTGGAAATGCCTATAAATAGGACCTTTCTTTGTACTTTTAATTCATTTATTAAAAAGTTATTTTTTAGTTGTGTAAATTTCTCATGTAGAAATATCTCTATTTAAACAATCATTTAGATCTCTATTTAAACAATTAAGAGACTAAACTAAGTTTTTTAAAATAGCCGGTGACCATTTTAGTTTTTCATAAAGAGTCAAGAGACTATTTTGATCATTATCTCCTAATATTTTCAGAACTAGTTCATTTTATATAGGTGTAGGTGTTTGTTGGTTTATAAATTCAATGCCTTGCCAGCAGCACTAGAAATCACTTTTTTGGTGCGACCATTATTGTTCCTTGAGAATAGTGTTGATATATTACACAATTCAAAACTTGTAGTTAGAAAGTTGCTACATGATAAATGCTTTATTTTGACCCAACTTCGAATAGGACTATTCTTCTCTTGTCGTCTAGACTAAAAGAGTTGATTCCACCACTCACCGATGCCCTCTTTTAGCTTACAAGCTACATATTGCATGATTTCTGTATAGCCAAAAAAAATTTTGTGGCTTGCTCTCATTTTAAATAATCCTTTTTATGCGAATGACTGTAAAGAAGGATATATTGATTTTAATTCAAAATTTGAGTGACAATTATTGCAACTCCCCTTGTTTCGATGACGCGGCAAAGTTTATGATTCCTCATCCACATCAAAAGTTGTTGTTTCGAACTACCAATGACATTCCTTCTCCTCCAACTCAAAGAACTCCGGATGAGCCCATGTATTACAGCGACGGATCTCCACTAAATGCGAGGCACTACAGGAGTTTTACTTCTTTTTTTGTGTTATACTTAGATTTGGTATGGTTGGTCACGTTGCAAATCTTCCCGACTTGAGGTTTTGAACTCTCTCATCTCCATTGAGAATCAACATAACTCTATATTGAGTTCTCATCCAATCACCAACCAAGACTGGCTTGAGCAACTCATAGGGCATCCAAATTTCAATCGTTGTCGAGAGCTTACCATTGACTTGCACTATTTCTTTGCAAGTTTTGTCCCTAATACCAATGTAGGCGTAGCGCCTTTACAAGATCATTCAATACATGAGAAGAGAAAGTAGAATAGTAAATTGGAAAATTTTCCCTCAGGTGAAATACAGAAGAAGCTTAATTGAGTGTGTGGAAAAAAAAAAACATTTAGCTATATATATTTCACAACTTTCTCTAGGTACAAGGCAAAATGAAGGGCGGACTCAAACTACAAAAAGGTAAACAGGTAGGGTGGATAGCGGTTTCACAGACTGAAGGTAGTGAGCTGCATCACTATGGCATGTAATCGGAGATGCCCACTGATGCTATTCAAGCCAAATATATATTTTTGATGGCTAATGAAATAATTTTTATATTAGTTATCATTTTTTAGAGTCAAATAAAGGTTGACTTCTCAACTAAGGATGTTCATTTTATCAATTCCCATCAATATATGTTAAGGAACTACAAGTTAGCATGTTATTTAGTTGAAATGAGGCTCTTTCTTTTGTTTTCAACTGTTTCACTTTCGTGATGTATGAATTTTTTTTCTTGTCTGGCTTTCAGCTCGGCCTCTCTTGCACATCAATGGAGATGGAAGCGGTTGAAAAGTACCTCAATATGCAACAAGACCCCGTCCATCGTGAATTTAGGGCTAAGCGTGGATGTGCTATGCACCCTAGAAGTCTAGCTGAGAGGGTTAGTTTTAAACATCCATTAGTTGCCTTCTTTTTCCAAATTTTTTTTCCTATTCTCTCACAATCCATATGAAATATTGTATTGGAGGACAGTTATCCTTTTCTAAGTAGTTCATTTTTTTTTACTATGTAATGACACTCTAAAGATGTACATAAATAATCATTTACTTAGTAAGGTATGATAATCACATAATTTGATACATTTATTGACAATTAAACTTATTTCTTTTTATTTATTGCCATGTTTGATTTGTTATTTCGACTACTTCCAATTCAGGTTTATTGTCATCATCATCATACGCCTTCTTATTTAGAGTATGACTTATAATTTATAAATACTCATCTTTCATTTGGTCTAGCTAAGAATATCATTGCATATCTTATCCTTTATTATATATGTTTAAATTTATTTTTTATTATTTCATTCACAATAAATATTAGGCCATTATTCCTAAAATATAATATTTTTTTAATATGTTTTTCTTAATTTTTCCACATTCATCAAACATTTTCGTTCTTCAAGAATTTTGGCATATATTTTAAAATTGGACAACTATCAACCTTTCTAGTTTTGACTTCGGACTGCCAATAGCAGTTCTATGTCCTACCAAATATCCAAATCTCTTTACAAGTTGCAGATTTGGTTGCATCTATAACTAATGTTATATTTTAGATTGTTTTCTTATAGGAGAGGAGAACAAGAATTAGCAAAAGATTGAAGAGACTGCAAGATCTTGTGCCAAATATGGACAAGGTAAGAAAATCAAACTGCATCCGCTTCTAGTAAGTGTTGCATCAATCATCAAATAATTAGGCTTCGTTTGGAATAATTTTCTTATTATTTCTTAAAGCAGCTTTTTATTACAAAAATTTTAGATTTTTTACTAAAAAACTGTTTTAAAAAACAGTAAGAAAGCCATCCCAAATGAAGCTTTAATCTGTCAATCTGCTTTGTTTGTCATGCATTAAAATTAGTAGCTTATATACGATGAGAACAATATTCATGTACATGATATGAGTAATTCTGGGTGATTGTAAATTGACCTGTGACATCCTAATAGCTTATCACATATCATCTGTGTTAACCTTTTATATTTCTTTCTTAAACTCCACAGCAAACAAACACATCAGACATGTTGGATTTGGCATTGCATTACATTAAAGAGTTGCAGAGTCAAGTTCAGGTGAGGAAATTTTGAACTCAATGATGATTTCTATATTGCTGATAAACAAGAATTCAGATCAAATATTCAAATCAACATATAACATTCTTTTCATTTTAATAAGCCTTCGTTTGGGACAGCTTTCTTAATACTTTCTAAAGCAACTTTTAAGTACAAAAATTTATAGTTCAATTTTTTTTTTTTTACTAAAAAGCAGTAAAAAAAGGTGTCATTTGGGACGGTTTTCTTAATGCTTCTTTAAGTAGCTTTCTAGTACAAAAATTAAAACTTTTGTACGAGACAGCTGCTTTAAGAAACGATAATAAAGCCGTCCTAAACGAAGCCCAAATCATCCTATCATCTTGATGTTAATTAGATTTTGATGTTAATCTTTGTTTGCCTATTTTATCACTGATCTGCTACTGCAGAAGCTTAACGAAGAGCGCGCAGAGTGTACGTGTGCATGCAAGCAATAGGAAGGTCAGGAAACGCTCCTACTCTTGTGTATAGGTAGAAACCGGTTTCTGTAGCCGTTTATCTCTGAAATTTGAAGAGTGGATGTTTAATAAATTCTTGCAGGAGATGAAGCTCACAACAATATGTATTTGAAAGTTTATAGTTTGATCTTCGTTTCAGGATAACCTGATATGATAAGATGAGTTTAAAATTATTGGATTTGCTTTGAAATTAGTGTGCTTGCATGTGAAGAATATGTAATATATTGATCTTGCACTAATCTCAAAGCAAATTTACTAATTTTAAAATTCACTAAGTTTGATAAATGAATAATGTATTTTTTTCTACTGAGAAGTCAATGGGTGTATATTGTAAAATATTCAAACTGTATGTGCAGACAAAAATCTATAAAAATTTGTTCAGGATACTGACAGAATTTTATATCACATTGAATTTTAAAATTATTAAAATCATAATCAAAATTAGTCTAAGAGAAATTAAAAAATAGAATAGAAATGAAATTATTTGATATTTGTTTATGCTTTTCAAGCTTGGCTCAGCTTGGTTTGGTGCACACCCTTACATACTTGAACTAGTTAAAGCCCTATGCTCTCTCTGTATTGGTTTGTTCATATTTTTCTACATTGTTATGGAGGTCTCCAAATAGAAAACAGTAAGAAAGTTGTTCCAAATGAAGTTTAAGCCAGATGCTTCGTTTGAAACAATTTTTTTACTGTTTCTTAAAGCAATTTTTTAGTTCAATTTTTTTAATTTTTATATTAAAAGCTGTTTTAAGAAGTAATCAGAAAGTCGTCCAAACGAAGCTCAAGTCTCAAGTAAATCATCATGGGAGCAGACTTTTCTGCAGAAGGATTTCATTTAATATTTTTAAGCTTATGTAGTAGTTCTACTTATATTTTTGAGAGGTTCAGGTTAGTTTGCTTATGGCTATTTCTAGTTTCTTTTGTAGTACTTGTTGTTTTCATTTCTTTGGTGCATAATGAAATAAAAGGATATTTATTTTTCTTTCCTTCACTTATTATTTATAAGTAGTTGTATATGAACTTTTCTCTTATGAGTGTAAAATGAATATTTTCTCTTAGGAGTGTAAAATAAATTTAAATTGATAGTGGCTTTTAAATTTTATTTTAAGGGTTGAGGTCAATTCCTTTATCGCATCCCATATTGATAGATTGTACAAATTTTTGGACCTATGATGTGAAATCTAATATGTGGTTACTTTGATGTGCACAATGTGCATCAATATTGATGTCGATGATTGGAATTGGCTTTATTAATGATGAAAAACATGTATAGTTCTTATTGGTGATGGTGAACATCATAGACATTGTTGGTGATGATATGTATCAATTTGATGTAAATGGTGGACATTAACTTTATTGGAAATAAAGTAGATCGACATTGATGTCAATGACATTCATCAATCTTATTAACAACGGTTAGCACTGAGATTGATGTCAATAATAGTGGTCAATCTTATTGATGTTGACATGCATCAATTTTTATGTTGATATGATGCACCAACCTTATTGGCAATGGGGCTATTAGGGTTGATGTTGATAGTCTTCATGAGCCTCTTTGGTAATAGTGTGCATTAATGTTGGAGGCAATAATATATGACAATGTTGGTGTTTACACCATACATCGGTGTTATTAGTGATGACGTGTTTCAACATGAGTATTGATTGTTTGTATTAGTTTTTTTTTTTTTTGGAAATGTCATGCTTTGATATTGGTGTCGATAAGATGTATTGATCTTATTAGTGAAAAAAGTTGGTTAGTGGTGGTTGAGCTATAACAATTGTCTACAATGATTTTCAGCATTGATCACTGAGCAAAGCTCCTTCTCACTTTAGGTCACAATCATGTGTAGAATAAGTCATTTATTTATAATATTTGGATTGACATTTGATTTATTTTAACCAAAACCTTTAAATACTCTATAATATAATTTATGTTAATACCTTCGATCATTTAAGCATTAAAGTGCATAATGACATTAGAATTGGGCAAACTTGGAGCTTTGTTAGATTTCTTTGGTCAATATGCTCATTTTGATTTTAAGCCCACAAAATTTTGAGATATTTAGATCTTAAAACATATCATAAACTTTCTAACTATGCTTTTAAGTACTTGGTTTTGGTTTATATGTACTCAGATTAAGGAACCTTTGGTGTCATTGTTTTCTTCTTATTAAACTGTTCATTTTGACCATAAGTTTGCTAAAATAGAGTTTGGATGGTTTTGAATTTTGGTTTTAAACAATTATAATTCAAACATTGCTTCAAAATTCTTGCTAATCGGATAGATTTCTAGAAATGTATCATTTGTTGTTTTTTTTTTTTTTTACGGTGAAATCTATGTTATCTGAAAATAAATCGGGGCTTGAAAATTTTGAGTTGCAAAATAATATATTTGAAAAATTTCTAAGGCATGACTATTACCTAGACACTAACATGAATCTTCTCTCGTAGTCTTAAATCAAGTAAATTTTTGTCAATTATAATTTCACCCTTCTATAAGGTTGGCAAGTTGATTAGAGTAAAAATTATTAAAATATTTAATTTAGAACTCTCTAGAAATGCTTATAAAAGCTCTATTTGGTGTTGAAAGTGTTAGAATCGAGTTCAAAATATCGAAAGTAGTCTTGTGAAGCCTAACAAGATTAGAATATACTTATCTTGGCTAAAAAAGAAGCCCACATAAGTATTTCATCGCTCATGCAAATATCTGTGACCATAAAATTTTATGATCAATTTAATTTCAATAAATTTATATGATCAATTTAATTATCATATAATCTTAAACTTTTTGTAGGTATGGATACAACTTTGTTCATATTCAGGAATTTTTTTCATGTAAAAACTATGATTTTGCAAGTTAAAATTTTTAAAAATGTTTGCTCTATAAAATTGATTCAATTGTTAATTACAGACTTCAAAAATTTCCCTTGACATAAATTTTTCATTGAGGCTTCCTTGCAAGTATGCCTTCCAAAAGTTTAGAGTAGTGGAGGTCATATATATCACTTGTCCTTTGACTTTATAAGAATGGCTCTACCCAATACTAGCTATCCATTAAGGCTTTCTCATTACCATGCCTTATATGGCTTTATCTTTTTTTTTTTAAATATTTAATCATGCTCTTCAAACTATTAACAATAGTCTGTAATGATGAAGTTTTTAATATATAGAGGAATAATAAAAAAATATTATTGCTAAAAGTGATGCCTTGAATGCATAAAAACTTAATAAATGGATGTATTTGCTTGACTATAATCAAACTTGAGACATTAACATGGATATATTTTTGATGTTGTAGCTAGAGTTTCCCCTTAATCATGAATTACTTCTAGTGGAACTAATAACTTAATAGATGACAAAGGGATTGGACAATAACAATAATCATGCATGTGATATTGACATGAACATCCTTTTGAAGTTGTAATTAAAATTTAGCTTACCCATAATCATTTCTCACAAAGAACATCAAACTATTACATCCCTTATGATGGTAGATAGAGTTCATGGTCTTATAATTGTATGAAAATCCTTTGCATATACATATAAGTTCTGAGCAACTAATAAGAGATAGTATTTTTTATTTAGAAACTTAAAAAGAAGAAAAATAATAGAGTTCAATCCAATTGAAATGACTTTACTAGCTTGTTTCACAAATTATAATTGATGCTCTTCTCTATAACTTAGGAATGTTTTGGTAAAATGTGGACATAAATAAAGAAGGATGGCCTATGTGTGAAAGTTAAAGAAGCCTTGAGGAAATGGGGTTATCTTCAAGAAATCATTGATAGTTTATTAGTTCATGTCCTTGGAGAAGAGTAGAATATTGTCAAAAAATTATTGTACACATGCCTTGGTGTTAATATTATGTGTCAGCTCTAATGGTGGTGTCGAGTGAAAATCTTATTGGCGATGGTGGGTGTCAGGGTTGATATCAATGATGGGCATCAACCTTATAAGTGATAATATATATTGATTTTCGTATTAATAACATGTATTGTCATTATTGGTGATAACATGTGATATTGTTGATGTTAATGACTAACATTAGTCTTATCGATAATGTCGTATGTTGATGATAATATTAATGGCATGCAACAAATTTATTAAAAATGAGCATTGGCATTGGTGTTGATGGTATGCAATCACTTTGTTGATGATTAGTGCCAATTATAAGCATAACCTTATTGAAAATGTATTGTATTAGTACATACATTATACTTATTGGTAATGATGTAAGGGTTGAAGTGGACAATGATATGTTAAACTTGTTATTGATATCATGCATTGACATTCATATTGACGACGTCCATTGGCTTTATTAGAGATGGTCAACATCAACATAAATATTATGACGTGCATTAGTCTTATTGGCAATGATAAGAATCATAGTTGATGTTGAGGTGAGTGTCAACTTTATTGATGATGTTGTGTAGATGTGTTGGTGTTTCAAGGGTGCACATAAAATATTAGTAATGATGATGAATGTTAGTATTGATGTCATGATGTGCATCATCCTTTTTGGTGGTATGTATCGACTTTGTTGACAATTGTATGCGTCAACATTGATATTAATAGTGTGCATCAACCTTATTAGTAATGATGTCTATCAATATTGGTATTATGATGCATGCCAGTTTTTTTGGAGATGACATGCATTGACATTTGTGTTGATTACATAGATTGGCCTTATTTGTGATGGTAGTCGGTCGACGAGGGTCGGCTGATGATGATCCTAGCGATGATCGTTGGATAGGGCTCTCTTGCACTACAAGTAAAAATCATGTGTAAAATATAAGTCTATTAATAATTTTTTTTAAAATGATATTTTATTTTTATAAAACCACTTCCATTTATAATAATATAACCAATGTTTTAAAACCGTGAATCGATCTTATGGCCGATCCGATTCATCCTAAGAACTGTTTTTTGCATCAAACCCCAGAACTAACGAAAACTGCTAGTTCACCTTTTGAATTTTTTTCAATATTTAAATAAATTATTTTAAAATATTAAGTAATATTTATTATTTATTTTTAATATTGAAATGCTTAATTTTAAATTAAAAAAATTTCAATTAAACATTTCACAAAGTTTTATCACTTTATATTAGGTACTATTTCATTATAGCTCAAAAGCTAATATAAAATAAAAGCATTAACAAGAGAAAGTCTCGTAAGTAATGTGAGACTAAAAAAACTAAAGCTCATATTTCTTACTTCTTAAGTTTACAACACAAATTACCTTTCTAAAATAGATTTTTTTAAATAAACTTTTAATGATGTAATAATATTTATTTTTAATTAATAATATTAAATAAATTATATTCTTTATTTATTTTTTATGTACTATAAATATTAATTAATTAATTAATTATTTATAATAAATGATTTAATTTAACCTCAATAATTTATAAATGTAAAATAATAATATGAATCTAATATATAAATTATATATAAATATATAACATAAATTAAGGATTATTTATATTAAACTTATTAATTTTACTCGTTTCAGTCTTATTTTTCAAAACATACATAAATAATTAATTAAATAGTTTATTTTCAAAATTTAAATCTTAATTTTATAAATAAAAATTATCTGATAATATTCTGAAAAGACTGCTTGCTGGTTATCTACCCCACCAGTCAAGTCCACTGAAACGCGTACCGATCATTGTTCATAATCACTCAGTATAGCCCTCCCTGTTGCCTCCGCTACACAGACGGCCACACCTTCCCATCCCTATTCCCTGGTCATCGTCAATTCGCCCTGCTGAGAATCTCGTCACGTGATTCTGTCTTCCTCCCGTCTCCTCTGTATTCCCTTCGACGAGAAAAACAAATAAAGTAAGCGTGAAAAGTAAATAAAATAGGGGCAAAAGAGGACAAAACCGAGGAGAAAAAAGCCACGCCGTGAAGGAAATCGTATGTGTTCTCCAATACCAATCACATCTCCCCTTCTGGAAGACAATGGCCACCCAATCCCCACCAAAACCCCAACTCCCTTCTCTAAACCTTTTTATTCGATCTTTTCTGATCACTCCCATCTCTGCCTTCCTCTCTCCTCCTCGGCGATGGCGGCGCTCTTCCACCCTCGAAGCCTTAGGCGGGCGGCGCTGCTCGCCGGAGCTTTAAACCTCGCCATCATCGCCCTCGGTACCTCCCTCTTTCCTGTCTCCCTCCGCCGCTGCGGCGGTCGGGAGAAATCCGCCGTCGCGGGAGCCGTTGCCGCTGCAGCGCTACGGATCGGATCAATGCTCCGCGCAGGGATAGCCCAGGGGCACGCCGCTGTATCTATTGCGACTGCTGCAGCCGGAGGTCGCCGGGTAGAGGATGCCGGCGATGACTCGCGCCATCGGAGAAGGGTATGTGTGAAATTGTTCTTGGATATGTTTTGCTTTCCGTTGGGTTTACCGGATTCCAGCTATTGCTGAAGTGGATTTTTTGGCATTATTCCATTGAAGAGAATTTGCTCCAAATATTTTTAATATTATTGAGGTGATTCATAATATATAAACTGCGAAAGAATGTATTTGTCCACTTTTCTATGGACAGTGTTTTATGTTTTATAATCAAGTGTTAGAGCCTTGAAGATAACTATATCATTAATGATTTTCTTAAATAATTCTAACGAAATTTAAATTGCTTGGTTATCCTTTATGGGATGGTTCAGGCAGCAGCATTACATTTACGTTGTTCGAGCACGTAATAGTAAGGAAAAACTGCTCGTCTGATCCTGTGATTTATTTTTTTGGCTTTTATACTGATAGTTATTTGAAAATTAAAATATAAAATTTTTGTCAAGTTGGAAACAGTTGTAAGCAATTTATTAATTCATTTGTGGATTGTAGTACAAAAAATAAAATTTAATCAATATTTATTTCAATAATCGCATCAATAGGCTCTGATTATTCTAATTAGATTCTTAGTTTGGATAATTTCCCCATGGTTTTTTTAATTCGTTTGAGAAAAGTTTAATATGTATCAAATAAGTAGATTGAGTCAATTTAATAGATTAATGGTGATTTGACTTTGAATATTGGATGAAGGGAATCTTACTCAGTCTTGGGTGGTTTGGATTTATAAATTTTATGTCTTGACTTGTGGAGCTCAAGTGGAAATCAGGCTTTCTGTAAAGCTTGGGTTTTTAGCCACAGTAGAGCTGAACTTGAAATGGTCTTATGTTTTAATTTGGAGCTGTATTTAGGGGAGAGGGCTGGTTTGAGGTACTCGAGACTTGAGAGGTGAGAATTTTTTATCATAGAGGCTCAAATTAAATTAAAGAGAATATCTACCAAGCAAGAGGAGTTTAGGGTTTGAGCTAGTAGGCTACTTTGTAGAATTAGAGTTAAGATTTAGTATTAACGTAATAAAGTGATGATGGAGAGAAAATATTAGGGAGAAAAAGAGTAACAAGCTTAAAAATGGAATTAAAACTAGGACGTATGCCTGCATTATAAAGGATGATAAAAATAATTAAGATTAAATAAAACTGTTAGTTATTTTGCAAGATTATGGTCCAGTAAAAATGATTAAAGATGAAATAAATTTAAATTTAAATTTAAAGTTAATATGATATATATATATATATATATATAGTCATTAAATAAATAATTGATATACTTGATTTAATAGAAAATAAAATATTGTAAATTGAAATTAAAAAATAATGATATTTATGATGTGATTATTAAATATTAATTTAAAATTTAAAATTACATCATATGCTAGCCTGAAATTTCAATGTAATGATTGTATGATGTGATGATTAACCTTGAATTGTGTTGCAATTCAAATTTAAAACTTTTAAGTTAAATTCCATCATGTCTCATATTTAAATTTATAAATAATAGTATACATGATGTGATAATTAATTTTTAAATGTAATTGAATTTAAATTCTAAATTGTGCTATATGTCACCAAGTGTCACATCCTAATTTCATGCACACTTATGTTGTATATTAAGGAATAGTTATGGTAGAGACTGTGAACTAAAGGGGAGCCAATGTTAAGCTTGATACATTAATGATCAAATTCATTTTCAACCCAAAATCTTAAGTCTGTGGGCAAGGGCCCACTTGGTATTTCTATACCAACAATTTTTTTCCAACTATCTGATATGTTACTAAACACAATACTTTCACATGCTTCGATAATGTGGGAGCTCTCTATACCCATGAAATATAAGTTTTTCAACTTAATCAAAATCATTCACAAACGGCCTGGACAGCTACATATTGGTATTATGGGAGTCACCCACTTTTAATATTTATTTAATTATGATAGAGGGTGGACAAGACTCACGGGGGGACAAACTGTATGGACTACTTGATCACAACCAAAACATTGGATCTAATTCCACTTTGTTGTAACAAAATGTCTTAACTCAATGTGGAAGCTCCTTCAGGAGCAAAATATGATGTGCCATAAATAAACATAAATGAGATAAAACACAGAAAGAGAATGATATGCTTCTTGGAGGGCCAAGAAGGGGGGCACCTTTAGAGTAGGTGTAGACTCCAAGAGAAACTAGAAGAGAAGGGAGAGAAGGAGAGAAACCATAAATTTTCATTCATCCTTGTTTGTTTACAATAGGGCCTATTTATAATACTTGGATGGATCAATCTTATAAGATAGGCTTGATCCACCTAATACATACCTTAATAAAAATAGGTAGACTTCATCTACCTCATTTAAAAGAACAAAATAAACTAAAGATTTATTACACATTTGTAGTTCACTTAATTATGATACAAGGCTTGATTTATTTTGAAGATTTTCATCTTCTTATTTGTTAGACTTTGATGATAGTAAGTTGATCCTTTATTTTGCTAGCCCATGCTTCACAATTGGCTTGTACCATTTTCGGATCTAATGAAATGTGTTTATTTTTAACACTACCGTCGCCATGAAAAATAATCTTGTCCTCAAGATTGAGAGAAGCAAAGAATGAAGTGAGTGTTGCAAAATTTTCTTATGTGGCATCTTCCGGTGTGTTTAATTTTCATTGCAACAAGATTTGATGGTGGGGTTGTCTGTCCACGAAGCTTTATAATGAGGGATGCTAAAATGGCATAAGGAACACATAATGGTTGATCATTATAAATAAAATTTGATAGTGTGGATGGAGTCAGTGGAGGGGTTCCTTTGAATGGTTTGAGAAGAGAAAACATGAAAACATGATGAATTTTTCTATTAGGAGGGGTCAGACAGTAAGCCACAGGGCTAATGACCTCTTGAATTGGAAAAGAGCCAAAATATCATTTAGCTAATTTGGAATGTGTTCTGCAGACAATAGAATTTTGCCTAAAGGGTTGTAGTTTAACCAATATGAGATCTCCTATTGAGAACTACAAATCCCTTCTATGACGATCTGCTATAAGTTTCATGCGATTTTGAGCTTGAGACATATTCTAGCCAAGGTGTTGTAAAAGAGTGTCATGATTTGTTAATAAGCTATCTACAAAATAAATATCATAAGAACCACAAATATGTGGGAATTGATGGAGGTAATCGACCATATAGGGCTTGAAAAGAGGTCATTTGGATAGTTATATTAAAGGAAGCATTATAACAAAGTTCAACCGAACAAAAAAATGTATACCATAATTGGGGAGTAGTGGATGTAAATGCACAAAGATATTGTTCTAGACAATGGTTGAGGACCTTAGTTCGTCTATCATTTTGTGGGTGATAAGCAGTTCTCTAATGAGGAGTGGTGCCACTCAAGGCATAAAGACGACGCCAAAAGTGGCTTAAGAAAAGACTATCGCGGTCGGAGACACTTGTTTTGGGAAAGCCATACAATTTAATTTAGAAATTTGTGAGAAGTTCAGCTACTTGAGAAGCGAAATCTTTAGGGCGTAATGGGCCAAAATGAGCATATTTGGACAAATGATCAATTACTACTAGAATGGTGGTGTACCCTTTTAATGTAGGTAGGCAAGTAATGAAATCCATAAATAAATCTTTCCAAATTTGGAGGCAAGGTAGATGTTTTAATTTCTTGGCAAGTAAGACAATTATTAACTAAAATAGTGACATCTTTATGGGGTCCAGACTAATAAAAATTAGAAGAGATTCATTTAATTATTTTGAGAATACTCTGATGTCTGACAAGAGGTGTGGAATGAAATTCAGTGAGAATTTAATTTTTTAGAGAAGACTTACTGATATAGATATGGCGTTGAAAATAAAGAATATTGTCTCGAATTTGAAAATCTAAAGGAGAAAGTTCACCTTTTGCTAGTTGGGAAGTGAGTTGAAGGATACCGGGAGATGTCATTGCTTCCTTCTTTAAATCCTTGATAAGGGAAAAAGGAGAAATTAATGAGTGTAGAAAGTGAGAATAATGCTGATGGAAGAGAAACCCTATCTTCAAGTAATCGAGATAATGAATCGACAACAATATTTGATTTACTTGGTTTATACTCAATGGAGAAATTAAATTCTAAAAGTTTGAGAAGATAATATTGTTGATATGGGGTTTGAAGTATTTGTTTTGAAGGTCATATAGACTTTTATGATCTGTGCTAATAATGAACGCAGTGTCTAAGATGTATTAATGCCATTTGTAAACCGCCTCAGTGACAACATATAATTCTATCACGTAAGTAGAGGATTGAGATAGAGAAGTCTTTAGCTTTTTGCTGAAGAAAGAAATAAGATGATTGTTTTGTAGCAAAATAGATCCAATACTAGTGTTTGAAACATCGGTTTCTATAATAAATTATTTTGTAAAATCTGGTAAAGATAAAAACAAGGGTTGTGGGTATGGCTGTCTTGAGGTTATTAAAAGCCATAAAAGCAAAATCGTTCCATTTGAAAGAGTCTTTCTTGAGTAAATCGGTTAAAGGAGATGCAATTGACGCTTAATTTGAGATAAAATGGTGATAATAGCTCGTTAAACCAAAAAAGGAGCGAATTAATTTTATATATGAAGAAATAGGCCAAGTAGTCATAGCAAAGATTTTCTAAGGATCAGGTTGGACACTTCCAGAAGATATAATATGACCAAGGTACGCGATGGAAGATTGACAAAATTGATATTTATTTAATTTAAGAAACAACTTGTTTGTAGTTAATCATTGGAATACAAAAAGGAGGTGGTCCACATGATGTTCTAGAGTAGGGCCTTAGATAAAGATATCATAAAAAAAAAAAACATAATGACACTTTCGAAGGAAAGAACAAAAAATTTGGTTCATTAAGGCTTGAAAAGTGGATGACACATTTGTTAAGCCAAAAGGCAATGAGAAATTCATATTGACCATCATGAGTGCGGAAAGCAATTTTATGAATGTCATGTGGGTGCATATAGACATGATGATATTCGGAGCGAAAGTCAAGTTTAGAAAAAAATGG